TTCCCTTCCCTTCCCTTCCCTTCCCTTCCCTTCCCTTCCCTTCCCTTCCCTTCCCTTCCCTTCCCTTCCCTTCCCTTCCCTCCTGTCCCTACCTTGTCCCCAACCACGAGGAGGGGGTTCCCAGCCATGGGGAGGGTCCTGGTGGGGTAGGGGGGCTCAGGAGGGACAGATTTTGAGGTGGGAATTTTGTGTCTGGGCTTCACCCTCCACCTTCCCTCCCCCCCCCAAGGCTGGAGAACGGCGACGGCAGCGCGTCCCCCCAGCCCAAGGTAAGGGGTCACCCTGGGGTGACAGGGGGTGCTTTTTGGGGGGGTCTGGGACCCCCAGCAGGAAGGGGGGCAGTGAGACCACCCCCCCCAGAGCCCATCCCACCCCCCCTGCAGGCACGGAGCTCGGGGGGCTGGCCCGGCGGGGCGGAGGAGGCGGCCGCGGACGGGGGTTGTGCCTTGAGAGCCCAGGACAAAGGTAGTGCCACCCGCTGGGGTGGTGGTGGGGGGGAAACCATCCCCTGGCACTCCTGCCCCACTGACACCCCTCTCACCACCCCCACAGTGCCCTACGAGGTCTACAGGGCCGACCACTCGTGCCTGGTGGCCGTGCTGCCCGTGGCCGCCTCGGTGCGGGAGGTGCTGCGGGCGCTGGCCCCGCGCCTGGGCGGGCCTGGCGAGCACGTCCTGGTCAAGGTCAACTCCTCTGGAGGTCAGTGGGGCTCTCTCAGGGTCGGGGGTGGCATTTTTACACCCCCTATTCCCGTGCCAGGCCGTGATTTGGTCTCTTTTTGCCCCCCTTCCCCCTCCAGACAAGGTGGGGCTGCCCCCGGACGCCGTGGGGGTGTTCACGGCGCTGGGGCTCAACGAGCGGCTCTTTGCCGTGACCGTGGACGAGCTGGGCAGCCTGGTGAGACCCTGGAGGGGGTGGGCAGCTCCCTGCAGACCCCTCCCCCCCCCCCAATACTCCCCCAGCATGGGGTTTGGGTCGGGGGTGTCCCTCCCTCCCTCCCGGGCTCAGTTTGGGGGGGTGGGTTTCTCTGCCTTTGCACAGACCCCCCACCCCGAGCAGCTGGGCCCCCACGTGGGCTCCTCGGACACCCTGGAGCTGATCAGCTCCAAGGACCTGGCCAGCCACCTCACGGACCACGACTGGAGCCTCTTCAGGAGCATCCACCAGGTCGGGGCTGGGGGGGGTCCTCCCTCGGGGACGGGGATGATTTGGGGGGACCCCCCCCCCCCCCACCCCTCACAGCGCTGACCTGTGGGCAGGTGGAGATGATCCACTACATCGTGGGGCCTCAGAGGCTGCAGGAGGTGAGCACTGCCAACCTGGAGCGGGTGCTGCGGCGCTTCAACGAGCTGCAGTTCTGGGTGGCCACCGAGCTCCTCCTGTGCCCGGACGTGGCGCGGCGGGCGCAGCTCCTGCGCAAGTTCATCAAGGTGGCAGCTCAGTGAGTGTCCCTGGGGAGGGGGGAGGAGATGGGGGTGACCCCCCCCTGACGCCCCACACACACACACACACACCCTGCCCAGGCTTGGTCCTGGACCTGCTCCGAACCCTGACTGGGATCGTGATCCTGTGCCTGGTTCTAGCCTGGCCCCAGCCCTGGCCCTGGCCCTGGTCCTGATCCTGTCACTGTTCCTGTCCCATCCCTGTCCCCATCCCTGTCCCCATCCCTGTCCCTGTTCAATCCCTGTCCCTGGTCCTGATCCTGTCACTGTTCCTGATCCTGTTCCCATCCCTGTCCCCATCCCCACCCCTGTCCCTGGCCCTGGCCCTGGTCCTGATCCTATCACTGTTCCTGTCCCATCCCTGTCCCCATCCCTGTCCCATCCCTGTCCTCATC